CCAGAGCATCTCAAGTCAAACAAAACATTCTGTTCAACACAAAAATCAGTGTTTTCAACTCATTCATATAAATCTGAATTATTCTGGTTCAGTTCACTGGGCCAAAAGGAAACAGGAGATTCTTTCAGTAATACTGGTTCCACATGCATATGAACCTTGGACTCAAACTTCGGCACTGATAGACTGTTTTAAATAGCATGAGGAGGCCAAGACCCTGCCTTGTTGAAGTAAGTGTAAAATTATTTGCGATCAAAGCTGCAATCTATAAACTGAATTCACTCTGCCCTTTCCTTCGGATAGGCAAGGAAACGCAGATACATGCAACATCCCCTATCCATTCAGAGCAAAATCCAAGTATCACAAGTCTTGCTTTTGCCAAACATATAAAACATGTTCCACATAAGGTTTGGGCATATACAAAGTTTGGTGTTTACAGGCTAGCAATGGATGGTTTCAAGGACCAGTTGTAAACTCTGGTCCTTTTGATGTGGAAACTTCTATGCAATGTTAGAGTACAGGAAAATTTTTTGCAAGGCACTGCTTTCTCCTCTTATGAGCTTCAGTCTCAGTGTATTTGTACAATGACTCAGAGGAAGGCACTGCCTCTTGAACATAAAACCTACACTAGGCAACAATCTATACTAGATAAAACGTCTAAACTTTCACCCTGACATCTGGGGCCATCACACAACTCTTTTTGACATGGTAGCATTTTGAAGTTCAGTAAGCTTTGAGTGACTGGATGAAAATTCAGATTTGGTAAAAGAAGTAGTACAACTTCCAGTACACAAAGCCACTGTATGATGTGAGCTGAAGGAACCAGCTACTGCAAGAGAAGTCTGGCAAGACAGTTTACCACAAGATTCCTGTTTAATATGAAACCACCCCTGCTGACTGAACTAGACTGGGCACTGTACACTGGATTTATTCTGGGCCTGCATTTTGTCAGTCTCAGAAGGAGCCCCATATGATAGGATGTTGAAATCACCGAGTTAAATCAAGCAAATCACACTTCTCACACCACTCAGGGTGTGTGTAGAGCAATCACATGGAGTCAGACCAGAAGTCCATCTAACCCATTACACCTTCTCCAACAGCATACATACAGGTAGAGCACAAAATTATTAGCCCTTTATGTAGAACAAATCCTAAGGCTTCCATGCTCAAATCTCAGTGCTGCAGCAATTTCGTGCACCCTTTCCAAGCTTCCTCAGCTCTGGTCTACAGCTAGAAAGTCAAACAAAAGCCAGTAAGTATTAACCTGTCCCAGTCTAAAACAGACTAGTTTTCTGATTATTTAGCTTCCTCAGCTGAGCACAGAGGTTTGAGAGGAGAAGAGGAAGGAGAAAAATGGACCACAGATAATCCTGTCCCGGATTGCCACAAACTGCCATGAAAACAATTATGAAATTAGCTCTCTTGGCTTCCCTGTAAACTGTTAGCTTCCACATGACACCCTGTTCTCACATCCTTTGCTGACCTATTTCAACACATTAATTTGCCAGAAAACCCGACTAAAGATTTCCCCCCTCCTAACTGACTTCAGACTGAAATAGCTCAGTTAAGAACCCGTAAATGCAGCTCTCGAAGGAGTTTAGACTACAGTGAAACTTCAGTCCAACCTGCTAACAGGGTATCAGCAAATCATACCATACCCCCAGTAAAGCTGCCACTTCAAAACCAAGAAGTCAAAGCACAACCAGGAGAAAAATAAGCAAGCCTTACGCATACAGCCCACACAAGAAGTCACTCAATAGAATTAAATTTACTTCACTGTATTTTGTACCCACAGAGAACATTTTGGGATAAGGCTCCAAACAACGCAGCACAAATTTAATACAGTGTCTCCCATGTCGTACCTCTGGCAGCCCTAACTCTACCCTTGAAATCTGATCTAGCCCATCCTGTGCCTGTTTATGAGTTAACTGAAGAATCTGCACAAGACAACTGCCTATATTTTACCATCTTTCCACACAGGTCTTTCGAAAGAATACTATAAAAATAACCTAGCAGTAGGAGCACTGAAATCAACAATACTCTTAACATGTGTTTTTGAATGCAATGTGGAAGGTCAGAACTTAAAATACTTGGAGCCTTGGCATTTGGTCATGCTGCAGCTTATTTTACTGGGTTTTACATCAACACAATTTCACCTTCACATTTAAGCAGATATTATAGCTAGCCAGAGAAACAGCATGATAATATGTACCCTTGAACTTCCATTTCTTAATTCACTTCTGAAATGTGACGTGGCACTACTGCAGCAATCAGCAGGCAGCCTAACATTATGTAAACAGTTTCAAAACCCTGATGGATAGTTTGGAAGAATAAGAACTTTGCAGCCTGGCTAAGCAAAAACTAAAAACCATTAACAGGTTTTAGAGGAAGGTGGCTGCTCTAGGTTAGCACTACCAAGCTTTTACAAGCAACCTCCACACATCAAACTATCTTATTGCCTCTGTCAACAGCAGGCAATAAGGAGTCAAGAGACATCAGAAATTTTAAGTCTCCAAACCACTCTATAAGCAAGTTATGAAGTCATTTCTTCTATCACAGAAGCTGGTTAGTCAGTCTCATCTACCAGGATACCAGGTACATAAACAGTCTATCACCTACTATTTCTTAAGGTAATCACATTCTCCCTCATACACATTTTTGCTGCTCACGCACCAACTGCAAGGCGCAAGACCTAAAGAAAGCCTTTAATAAATCAATTTAAAGGGAGACCGCTTATCATGTAAAATGACAACATGGTATTTTTCAGTCAAAATAATCAAGCTACATCATGAGTTGTGCATCAGTGTCTACCATGAAACCCAGGAGAGGTTTATAAAAATAATTACATGCAAGTAATTATGTTAAATACGATTACCCATCATTAATCATCTCACAGTCATGGGATAACAACCAACACTATTTTGTGATTAAGAGATCAGGTATCAAGTCTTGCTCTTTCAGCAGAGAGGCACTTCAGTGTGATATTTGTGTCATGCGAGGTACTGACTTCTGGCTATCAGCACCAACATTGTATCGTAGTTCACCTTCAGACACCTATGCATCACTCTGATAAGTAGAAACATTCTTCACAAACTCTTAAGTGCGCTTACATAAAGCGCGTAGATGGTGTACTTCACCAAGGAACCCGTCCCTATACAGTTTCATTGAACTGAAACGCCACTGTTCTTTGACTTTTATTAAGTTCACTTAGGTTGACCAGATGAGCTTCCCCAAAGTAAACAGGGTTATAAAATATCAGAATGATTCTATCCTTAGGTGCTCAATAGAAACAAATACTTGGTTTAACTAGAAAACTTTAAAAATGACTTTAGATACAAAAGTGTAACAATTATACTGCGCAATACAACTTGATATATCACTAAGCCCATGAAATTAAAGGTTTTTTGCACCATCAAGAATAGCCACAAGTCCTGAACTTCCATTCTTTATGCATCCTTGACCAGAGTAAACCTAAAGTTGGGAATGCTTGGGATTCAAAATACCCTGAGCACATACTAGTGCAACACCACAAAGCATACATAAACCATCGGAAAAGGGAGAACAGGAAAGGTGGGGGAAAATTAGCAAGAATCAGATGGTGCTTTATTATACAAGCATGAAAGTAAGTTCCTTTGGAAAATAACTTCTCGGGTGGACTTCTGGACCAGTGAGGTAGCCCAATGGGAGAGAAAAAAAGTGGAAGCGGAACTTGGTCCCCACGCGTGATACCTGCCGGAGGGTCCCTCGCATCTCCCCGCACCCCGGCGGGGACGGGCCGAGGCCCAGGCTGCGCGGCCCGGCAAGCCGCCCCCCGTGCGGCTGGGGGTCCGGCCCCTACCAGAGCGGGCCATAAAGTGCAGCAGCGGAACACGATCCAGACAAGAGCAATGTAAACAGGTGACTGATATCGGTCTCTTAATCCGCACAGCGGGGAAGCTGAGGAGCCGGTCAGCACCCCCCGCCCAACCCCAACCCACTCGCGGCCTCAGGACGGCGCCACGGGGAAACGGCGCACCCGCACCACGGGAGACAGGTCCACACCGAGGATCCGCTGCGCTCGGCGCTGAGCCGCCGCCAGGCTCCGGCGGCTCCAGACGCTGCCCCGCACCCGGATGGAGGGGAAGGTGGTGAGGCTGGGGGTGGCCGCCTTCCAGATCTCCTCCAGCGACTTGCCGCCGAAGGGCTCCCAAGCGGCACCCCCCGCCGGGCTGTCCCGCTCGCTGTCCGCCTCCTCGCCCGGCGGGCACAACGCCAACGCCGCCTCTTCCCCACCATCGCAGGGGTCAGCGGCCACCGGTGCCCGCTCTTGCCGCTGCCTCTCCCGTACCCTCCTGCGGCGCCGCCTCCGCCGCCGCCGCTTGGAGCTGCCACCGGCCGTCGCGGCCCGGCGCTTGGCGTCCGCGGCTGGGAGGCGCCGCTTGCCGACGCGGCGGCGGGGTCGCTCCGCCGAGGGCGGCGGCGGGTCGGGGACAACGGCTCTGCAGGAGGCGTATCCGTAAACGTCCTTGCTGCGGAGGATGACCGGGGAGAATTCGTGCTTGAGGCTGCAGAGGAAGTTCCAGAGCTCCGAGTCGGAGCTCATGAACTCCGTGGACTTGGGCATGAAGAGCTTGAGGGCGTCGCCCAACGCCTTGGTGCCGGCGAAGGAGACCTGTGAACGCGAGTACACAACTTTCTCCGCCCCCCCTTCCAGCCCCCACGCAGCAGGCGCCGCTCCGCCGTCGGCTGTCTCCGCCAACACCGCCTGGTCTCCCGCAGCCGCCGCGGCGCTCCCCGTCTCTTGGTTCATCTTCCCGGCTCCTCTCTCCAGCGCCGCCTGCTTCCTACTGCGGGTCATGGAAGCAGAAGGACGGGGCGGGCGGGGTAAAAGATGCTGAGAAGAAAGAGCGGATCAGGGATGAGGAGCCGGCCGCACCTCGGCCGCCGCCGAGCGCCCACCGTCTCACCGCACCCTGGCGCCCTCCCGCCCGGTGGGAAGCGACGATCGATAGCCTACCGTCCGGCACAAAATGGCGCTTTAAAGTCCCAGGCGGGACTGCGCACCGGCCCGCCCTCCCTCCGCGCCCGGCGGTTGGCCCGTTTGAAACGCGTCAGGTGGGCCAAGCCCCGCCCTCCGCGAGGCGGCCATTGGGAGCGTGGCGAGTGCCCCGCGCAGCGGGTAGCAGGGAGCCGCTGGAGCGGCCTACCGTGGCGCGGCGGGTGGCGAGCCCCAGTTCCTAAGGGGTGTCCCGGCTGGTGCCCCTCAGCCCTTGTGCGGTGTCCCAGTTGGCGGCCCCTTTCCTCAAGCAACATGGCCGGTTCCCGCAGGGCTGGCACAACCGCTGCACCGCGTGCGGGTGTCGCACCTTGTCGCGAGGGTCAGGTTCTTCACAGGGTGGTGGGCAAGGATGGATTCAGCCCTGAAATGTGATTGAGTAAGGACTGGGTTGGAGGCTTCGATGGGCAGGGTCCTGTGGAGGAAGAGTGATGAGTGACATGTTAAAAAGGGGTAAACAGACATGAAATGGGGAAGGCCGCCATACATTGTTAAAGGCATCCATTGTCTTGCAGAGGAGTTTTTAACATGAACCTGTAGGTTGGTCATTCAACAACATCGTAAGTCACAGAATCACAGAACAGTTGAGGTTGGAAGGAACTTGTTGAGGTCGTAGGCTCCAAGCCCGTGCTCAAAACAGGGCAACCTAGAGCAGGTTGGCCCAGAGTCTGTCTAGATGACTCTTGATTATCCCCCGGAGATGGAGACTCCTCTCTCTGGTGACCAGTGATATGACATCAGAAAACAGAACAAAGCTTCATCAGGGGAAGTTCAGATTGGGCGTTAGGAAAAACACTGAGGGGGTGGCTGGTCACTGGAACAGGTTCCCCAGGGAGCTTGTCATGGCACCAACCCTTTCAGAGTTCAGGGAGCATCTCAGTGATGCTCCTTGTCATATGGTTTAGCTTTAGGTCATCCTGCGAGGAGCAGGGAGTTGGACTTGATGATACTTATGGACCCCTTCCAGCTCAAGATATTCTATGATTCCATGATTCCACAACGTGAGGAGCCTGTGCCAGTGCTCAGTCACCCTCACAGTGAGAAGGGGTTTCCTGATGTTCAGAGGGAACCTCCTGTATTTCAGTTTGTGCTCATTCCCTCTGGTCCTGTCCCTGGGCACCAGTGAGAAGAGCCTGGTTCTGTCTTTGCACCCTGTCTTCACCTATCTATGTAATAATGAGATTCCCCCTGAGCCTTCTCTTCTCCAGATGGAGCAGTCCCAGCTCTCTCAGCCTTTTCTTGTAGGAGATGCGTCATCTCCTTTATCATCTTTGTGGCCCTTTGTTGGACTCTCTCCAGTATGTCCCTGTCTGTCTTTTCTGAGGAACCCAGAACTGGACACAGTGCCTCGTCAGCACTGAATAAAGTGGAAGGATCACCTTCCTCAAGCTGCTTGCCTAACACAGCCCAGGTCATTATTCATCCTCTTTGTGGCAAGGGCACATTGCTAACTCATGTTCAACCTGGTGTCCACCAAGACCCCTGGGCCCTTTTCTGCCAAGCTGCTTTCCGTCTGGGTGACCCCAAGCATGTCAGCCCATTTCTTCAGCCTGTGTACGCTAGAATATTCACAGCATTTTGGGGACAAAAATCAAGTCTTTGCGTTGGTTCAGCCCTTTGTGAGAGTCAACATCTTGCTGAGTCCACAGCGCCATTTTCTCCTGCTTGACACCACTATGTTTGCAGCCTTATAACACAATTTTGTCAGCTGTTGTGAAACCCCGTGTCCCTCTAGGTCATGCTTTCTGATACTTCAGAAACTGTTGGCACAGGGAGAATGTTCCATTAGGTTCCCGCATTGTTTCAGTTAAACCAGAGCTCTTTCCACAAGCCAGAACAGCAAGGTGTCAGCAAGGGCAGATGTGGTTTAACCTTCTCTACAAATCCAACTTGGGGTTTCATTAGACTCCTAACTAATTACTTTCTCTGAACATCAGTAAAGGGCGAGAAGTAATATTTTTCTTCATAGATAGTCTTTGTTCTGTAATTAATCTTTCAGTTTAGAATAGGGAAATGTTTTATTCTCAACTCATCAAGAACCTAAATTGGAATGTTTAGAAAGCCAGTCAAATAAGAGGCAGAAATTCTGCATAAGAAATTATTTCTTACTGCCAGTGGAAATAAATGGATTTTCTTTACATTATAATTTAGCTTATGTTCATGGAAACTCAAGAATATTAATCCAAATAACCATTTGAAGTGGATATTAACAAAGCCATTTTAAATCTTCATAGGGACAGTCTCGAAGTGCAGCCGTATCCTAAACCAACTTTATAGATGACCCATTTCAAAAAACAACTTTCTCCAAACGATGGTGTTAGTACTGTTTTTAATTGGATTAATTTCACAGTGTACTTTAGAGCACAGTCATGCAGTCAGATTGATTTAACTGAGGGAGGTATCCTATAATGCAGAGGATAAGAGCCCAGAGCTGGAGGCATTACGGCCAGGCATCTCTTGATCCTGCTGTGCTGCAGTTAATCACACTGGCATACAAGTGCCCACTTGCAGCCACGGGGTCATCACAGCTTAGCAAGAGGCTCATCACCTGCAGGACCACAGGAGATGACCTCTGCTCACATTCACAGTGGAGGGAGCTCCCACACTATCAGCCTCAGCAGCTCAGCTGACCAGTGGGTCCTCATTAAACTGCAGAAACCCAGTTGCTTATAATCATTAGCCATAACCTTTTCCCTGAAATCACAGATATTTCTGGCATATGACTAAAAAATCTTTGAGGCAAGTTGGGGAATCTTCAGCAAGCAGTAGATGAGTCACTGTAGCTACAAATGAAAAGACGGAATAGCGCATGTGTTTGTTAATCAGCACTTATTCGGTAATTTTACTATTTTGCTTCCAGGATGGACAATACCATTTTAAGGCATGGAATGTAATCTCACTTTTACAATTTCATTATGAGGTTTCTGCAGTGTAACACTTTCATTTTAATACCTTTCAAAGTCATCTCAAGAAAATCCATGGTAATTGGCTATCTTTCAGTAATTTACAGTAGCTCAGTACAGTAATACTGATGATAATAGAAATGAATAATCCTTTGGAAATGTATAGCTCTTCATTTTAATCATACTACTTCTTGTAAGTATTAATTATCATTCATGGTACTCCTGAGTTATGTAAGTAAATATTGCCTTTCTTTAACAGATGAATAAAATGAAGAAGTGGATTAAAATGGCTGGATTAAGATGTATAGACTCTATGACTTAATTTTCTGTAGATCTTAATTTTTCATAATTGTTATTCTAAAAACACAGTGAATGTCTACACTGGAGAAGACTAAGAGAAAGATAAGAGAAGAAGGGAAGGGAAAGGAAGGGAAAGGCAAGGGGAAAATATCTGTAATTTTTGTTCTCTTATTTGTTAGCATTCCTTTTCTTTATAGAATTCTTGAGAAGGAGGGGCAAAATACCAAATGATAAATTACTGCAGGGACACTTTATTTTCTTAAATAATTCCTGCCTAGTACCGTAAACCCACCAGTAACTGCTAATTATTTTAACTGCTAACAATGTTTTCTGTACATGTGATCACATCAAGTTTTGAGTCCTGATGAACCCTAAAATCCTGTATATTATGTCACACCACTTCTGCTGCTGGGGCTTTTCCTCCAGCATACTCATGCTCTTCTACCCAGATTAGCAATGTCAGTCTTACTGCCCAATGCCTTTAAAGATAACCACTCTTTTCCAATAGCTTTATCTTGGCTGTTGAGTGGTTGCATTAACTGGGAGCCTGCTGCAGTTAATTTGCTTCCTAGATGTTTTTAGCATACTTTTGGGGAAGTGTGCGTAACAGTGCAAGCATGACTCCACATCCATTCACAACTAAACAAACCAGATGTTACCCAATAATCATCAGGTTCCTGGGTCTGAGAAGTGCCCAAACAAGCACTGGCAAAATTCTTGAAAATACTTTCAAAGATAGACAGAAGCAAATAATTTACAAGAATAATCTCTCATCTAGTTATTAGGAACAAAAAAAAAAACAAACAAAAAAAGTGGGATTGCTATGTGTAGGAATTGCAGTTGCAGTCAAGAAGAGAAAGAAGATGTTAGGTATCACTGTGGAAGGGACAGAAAGCAAAACAGCAGACAGCATTCTGCTGAATACAAGTCCATTGTGCCTCCACAAGTCCCAAATACTGTGCATTTCTAGTCTTACCATATCTAAGAGGTTATAGCAATGATATGAAGAAGGGCAGCTAGGGTGATCAGAAATATGCAACAGTTTCTCTATGAAAAAGAGATTAAATAGGCTACAACTCTTCAGCTTAAAAAAAACATATGGCTGAGGAAGATGATAAAGGTTTATTAAAAACTGTGATAGTATAAAAAATATAGATAAGAAATTATTGTCTTAGTTTTTGTAATCCAAGAATGACAGGGAAACACATGAAGCTATAAATCAGAATACCAAAAAGACATACTTTTTTTCCCAGGTAACTCATAATTAGTCTGTGGGCTTCATTTCCCAGCAAAGTTCCCTAAATGGAAAAATGTACCCCAGTACTGAATATAAAGGAGAGCTGATCAAGAAGGTATTGCAGGGATTACAGAGCTCACCATTCAAAATGACTAGACATGAATGGGGAAAAAAAAAAATCCATCAAGAAAATCCATGTGAAATCCATGTGAAAACCAAGTCTAGCACCTTGGGATTAGAAAGCCCATAAACCAAGGGCTGAGAGAAGAAAAGAGAATATACGGGAGGAGATAACCCTCAATATCTGCACTGTTCTAACTCCCTACCCTTCCTCTTCAGCCTCTAACAGACTAGGACACTTGACTAGGTGGACCCTGGAGCTGGCCATCATGGCTGGTAGAACTCTACAACCTGTTAGAAGACAGAAGAGAGCAACCACAGGAATAAAACATAGTATTTCTTTCCCAGAGCTTTATTCTTGCAAGAGCTTGCAGAAGCTGGAAGAGGATATTCTAGGACTAAAAGGCAATGAAGCATTTGCAGAGGAAGAAATACAGAGGTTACAGAGTCCATATGCAGCCAGGAGCCACACTCAGGCAGAAGCCAACGAGGATGCAATCTGAGGTAAAGTGTATTCCACTGGCTGTGATTATTGCATGCTCATTTTTTCACTTTGTTCATAGCCTCAATACACACTGTCAAAATGGTGACTGACTACTTGCAGAGGGGAAGAAAGGATATTTTTTTAAATAAGCCTTTTATTTCAATAGCATTTGTTGACAGTGTTTGGGAGAGGAAAATAATCTCTAACATATTTTAGCAGAAGATTCTGATACATTCAAAAACCCCCTGAAGCAATAGTAAAAATAAACACAATGAAGCATGCTTTGTGAGATACAGAAAGCACTCCTAGATTTTTTAGCAGAAGCTGTTTAACATTTGTTTCCACATTCTAGGAAGTAATCTGTATGTGACGCACATAACCATGCAAAGTGCGCAGCATTTATATCATTATTGCCCTGTTATTGCCCTGTTATTAATATATGCTGATGAAAACCATGCTGGTGGTCACTGCAGTCTTGACGGTCAATAATCATCCCTTGGTGTAATATGTTACAAGGTCCTTGGTTTATGTATCCAAAGTGAAATATTTTCTTCCTAAACCTGTTTTTATTTCAGCTTTTTCCCCCCTCTTATTCCCTTCATTTACAGAATCATAGAATCATAAAATAGTTAAGGTTGGAAAGGACCTTAAGATCATCTAGTTCCAACCCCCCTGCCATGGGCAGGGACACCTCACACTAAACCATGCCACCCAAGGCTCTGTCCAGCCTGGCCTTGAACACTGCCAGGGATGGAGTGTTCACAGCTTTCTTGGGCAACTCATTCCAGTGCATCACCCTTACAGTAAAGAACTTCCACCTTATATCCAATCTAAACTTCCCGTTTAAGTTTGAACCCGTTACCCCTTATCCTGTCACTACAGTCCCTAACAAAGAGTCCCTCCCCAGCATCCCTATAGCCCCCCTTCAGATACTGGAAGGCTGCTATGAGGTCTCCATGCAGCCTTCTCTTCTCCAGGCTGAACAGCCCCAACTTTCTCAGTCTATCTTCATATGGGAGGTGCTCCAGTCCCCTGATCGTCCTCGTGGCCCTTCTCTGCACTTGCTCCAACAGTTCCGTGTCCTTTTTATGTTGAGGACAGCAGAACTGCACACAATACTCCGAGTGAGGTCTCACGAGAGCAGAGTAGAGTGGCAGGATCACCTCCTTTGACCTGCTGGTCACGCTTCTTTTGATGCAGCCCAGGATACGGTTGGCTTTCTCTCATCGACCAACACCCCCATAGAATTATAGAATGGTTTGGGTTGAAAGGGGCCTTAGTGATCATCCAGTTCCAACCCACCTGCATGGGCAGGGACACCTTTCACTCATCTGGGTTCTCAAAGCACTGTCCAACCTGGTCTTGAACACTGCCAGGGATGGGGCAGCCACAGCTTCTCTAGGCAGTCCACCTAGACCATCTCTTTAACTACCCATGTTGACTTTGATTGCATTATGCTTCCAAATCTATCTTTTCTACCCAGAAGATAGTTTAGCTGATGTTAAATTTACTATAGACAAGGTAGCAATACTTTAACTGTGCTTTCTTTGGAAAGCCAATGCAAAGTGAGAGACATGGTGGTCGCCACAATCTGTCTTCTCTGATTAAGCTAATAAGGTGAGAAATCAAATGGGGGAAGTACATAATAGAGCATGCAGGTCTTGGAAACTGAATATGCTAGATCAGGAGGAAAAACTTCAATATTCTTAAAGTAAATGCTTCCAGAATGAGTTTATTTCAGGGTACCTATTCCACTTTTTTCTCTGTTCCCGCCTATTTTATTCTAGGACAAATTCCAGATGGAGCTTCAGAAGGAGGATGCAGCTTTGCAGGTCTCAGGCTGCAGGGAGTGCTTGGGGCCTCTCACTGGGGTGGGGGCAGCAGGAGATGGTCTTTAAGCCTGCAGACATGCATCATTAAGAATCTGTCAGCAGGTAAAGGAGACGTGAGAGGATTTCACCAGACTGCAGCAATGTGAGAAAAAAAGTGTTTCTACTGTAAGGTGATTGTACACTTGACCAGGTTGCCCAGAGAGGTTGTGGAGTCTCCATCATGTACAGGGGACAGTCCTGAGTATCCTGCTGTAGCTGGCCCTGCTTTCAAATTGGGGTTGGATTAGATGATCTGCAGAGGTTCCAGCCAACCTCCACAATTCTGTGATTCAATGATAACATTTTTGGGGGTTGGGTTGGTTTTGGTTTGGTTTTAGTTTGGTTTGGTTTTTTTCTTTTTTTTTATATAATTTTCTTTTAAATTCTATTTTCTGCTGGTGTAATTTATGCTGGAACGTTCTCCTTCTATTTCTTCATTCACTTTCTCTCTAAAATATGCTTCCTGCTGTACATTCTTCAAAAGATAATCCTCGTTCATAAAACAGGAAGATGATCTGCACTACTTTCTAATACTGGTATGTTTTTAGTCGAAACTCCGTATTATCAAAGGTTTAAAATGGGTCAGTCTAGTACTGCTTTCTGAATATAATTCCAACATAGGAAATATGTTGCTCAAGAATATAGTTCTCATACATAACAGACCACGTCATCTTGTAATATTGATCACAGTGTTTCCTGAGACACTCTATTTAAAGCACTGAGACTATTAAAACAAATGTGAATGTCATTCATTTCTGTCAAAACAGACAGTTTTTAAAGCCTACTAGCAATTATTTAATACCCTTATTAATTAAATCTTATTTTTTGATACTGAGTGTTGCTGAGCTTGTCAGTTCAAAAATTCTTTTCATGATACACTCAAGCCTGTGCTTCCATTTTCCTTCCTACCAGATTCACGCACTACCAGATGAGCTGACAGTACAAATTCACTCCAGAACAGTGGGAGCACACAATTGATTTTTCTTTTTTGTTGAACTTGCCACAGGATACAATGCAATGTTTATATTGGATTTATGTTTTATGCTGGCCTAGGGACGACACGGTATGTGATCCAGCATAAAGTTCCTGGAGAGAAAGTTACCCTTCAAAATGCTTTGAATTAATTAGACTGAGGGAGTTGTTACCAGCTCAGCTTTGTGTGTGGTATGGATGTGGCTTTATTAAATGGATACTTACAGCAGCTTTACTGTGTCACTGGACTTCTTAGTCAGGCTCGCTCTTATTTATTCTCTCTCTGCACATGAATCTTGCAGACCTTTTTGCTCGCTGTGTTTGTTGTAATGGAAAGTGACAGAAACTGATTCTTTTTCAGGCCCTTGTCACTTTCACAGGGCAGAGGAGTGTGAACTTCAGGCACCTTAAGTGGAAAAGGATCTTGATCTCTTTTGTTTCAGCGAATGTTGTAAGCACTCAATTATAATGCAGATGTTGGCTGTTAGCATTAACACCTCCTTTTGAATCTCTCTTTTGTTCCTTGCGTTAGGCATGGGCTTCAAAAGCCTGGAAAGCTTATCTCTGCACTTCTCAGTTCCTGCTGCAGAGGAGCAGTGGGTTTCAGTGGCTCACAGCATTGTAAACCGGCACAGGAAGCCTGGCTTAGGGAGCAAAGCAGGGGCCGGCTCACTTGGGATGAATTTCATTACTAAACTGAGATCCTGCCCTGACTCGAAACCTGCTGGAAGTATGTTCCTATTACTTTTAGTGGTATAATTTTCTATTCCTTGAATGATTTTCAAATGCCATTTTAGGACAAAATGCCTGAATTGTGATTTATATTAATTTCCCCAAATATTCTAATAATTTATAGTTTGGTAACACTTGGTTGGTAGTATTCCTTATAATCTATTTAGAACTATTGTGAATCCATGTCAGCACAGAACTAAACTGGGTAATTTGAATACATTAATTATTTTGACCATTTTCAAAAATATTGTTATAAAGAATAAAAATAGATTGAAAATACCTTGAGAACTGGGGTTTCAAATTGTTCATCTTAAAATGAAATAAAAGATTTGCTATAGCTGTAGATACTCTTCATTTCGATACAGACACAGATACTAGCTAAGATTTTGACCCTGTACATGATCTGCATTATTATAAAGCCTTGCCTCAAAAGGCAATAATATTCAAGGCAAGTTCATCCTTGGTGACCCTGGAATGGCTTCAGGTGGATGAGTAGCTCATTTACCAGTATTTTAAAATTGTCTTTCAGAAATGCAGTGAATTACTTAATGCGTGTATTCTCACAGAGGGGTATGAATGCCATCAACCAGCAATTGCATTAAATACTTTCCAAAATATTCAAGTGCCCCAAACTTTCATTATAAAGTGAAATAGTTACCAAAGTGAACAGATCACCCACATTCGATCCCCATTCCCCTCTGCTACCTTTGGAAGGCTCTTCCAAATAAGAAATGGTAGTGGTTTAATCTTTTGCTAATTTAATTAAACCCATGCCAAACCCTAGTGTTGTCACTTGCTCCAGTTTGTGTAGCATATTTCAGTTTATTTTATACTGGCTCTCATTCAATTTAAGCTCAATGAACCATTGTTGCTCACATTTAAGAGTACCCATGTAACAGTTACCACGGGTTCAATTAAAACCATCCAAGTAAGCCAGAATTTTCACTGCTCGTTGGCATTCTGTTACGTCTGCTTTTCGAGTCCTAA